TTAAAGTTCAGCTGTCTAGAAATTTTACTCAGCATTACTCCAGATACAGCAGAAGTTACTGATGCAACTTCACCCACTGTCAAGATGCACAAACACAGGAAAACAAACTGAGAAAGCAAAAAGATCTTGTCACACCTCTAATCTACAACCTTTTCATGTCTGCAAGGTAGCATTAAGGTACTATAAGGGGGAGGGTGTGCAGACAAGTACTACTGTCTGCACTATGCACTCAGACATGCTGCTGAGAGAAGTGGGGGTAGGTGCTGTGTAGATTAACTAGTGCAATCAGACTGAGGAGCAGCTGGCATGGGCAACACTGGGAAAGACATTCTGTGCCCCCCTGCAACTATTGTTCAAACAATGTGCTGCCTGCCCTGTACACCTAGTGCCAAATAACACTTGAGGGAGAAATAAATCACTTTGCAGATATTAGTTGCAGTTACTGGTTAATGCAGAGTAGCGAGGTACAGGGAGCACTTAGTTTGATGAAAGGGGTCTCACTGCTAATGCAAAGACGGCAGAATCATCGTCACGTGAGACTGGAATCGCACAGGGATGCAATTCACACAAAATGATTTATCGTGCAGCCCTAACACATATCGATTTAAATTATGTAGGTTAAATCTTATTTCAGTGTAGTGCTGTACACAGTGCATGTTCGCTCAGTCTCTCCGTGGGCTGCTCCGTCTCTCACACACAAACACATGATGACAGACCATCTGTGAACAGCTCCTCCTCTCCATTTCTTTTTAAAAACAGTCAATTGCAGAGATCCAACTTTTCTAATATGTTATTAGCAAGCTGGTAAGGCTAGCTAAGCTAACATTTGAACAAAGCTGTATATAGTATGGATGTACTGAATATGGACTGCTCTGCAAGTGGATAAAGTTAATACTAGTTCATAAACCCGGATGCTGAATGTTTGTCTCCTCAATTCAGGGGAATATTGAAAAACAAGTGGAAAAGCGAACAGTGCGATTAGTGATCCAACTGATTCAGGAGAAGTCTGCGTGAGAAAAACTGAAACACTACCTAGCCAGGCAACAGATAGTCATTATGCAGGATAACAGTTACCATGTCTGACTAAGCAGGGTGAGCTAAGGCCACTCAGGACACTGATCTCACACCTCACCTGCCTGCCTTTCTGCCAGCCACACCCTGCGGAACTGTTTGAAATACAAACATAAACCAAGTACTGAACACACAGGATTCCTCATGCACATCAAAGAGGCAGAGCAAAGGATGATAAGTTATGCCTAACCTGTCCAATACAAACACAAACACACCCTCATAGTGGCTGTGAACTTGATTTCAGAACACTTGGATCAATAACTACCAAGTCAATATACACATCACTGCTTAAGTAGAGGCAGTTGCTACACATGGCATGTAGTGCTAAGTTAAGAAAACATCCTTATTTTACACCACACTTATCTCCTTTTACAGTACACACACATTTTTATCAGACGCTTCTTTCACCTTATTAACTGCAACTAGACACACTACAGCGCTGCAATATGTTCCAGTGTAAACAACAATGTAAACACCCCCTATAAATTTATCCAAAAAAAAAAAGGGCTCTGCAAGGTAAGGCACAGGCAACTCTCTCTATGGGGTGACATTCAAGGCTACCAAAGTGAACTAACAGACTATAAAAGTGCTGAATTACTCTTTCAATAATTACAGTGCACTGAGCCTAGCTGCACAGTCCCAGACAGAGCCTAAAAATGCAGCGCCAGCATTTTATCCTAATGGGCAGGAAAGTGCCAGCCTCCAAACCACAGTGATGAGAGTTACAGCACCACACCATCTCACCATCCCACAGCTGAACAGCCAAAAGCAAAACAAGAGTTAGTTTAACTCTATACACCATCCTAAACAGATGCAGTAGAGCTAGGATTGAATTTCCATGGGTGTGGGATTGAGACAATGGGTAGAGGTTGTAGAATCTGCTGCTTTTTAGCCAAATGCTAAAACTATGAGCTTTACAGGAGTTGTGCTCTTCACTTCAGACTTGTGAGCAGGTTGAAAATTATCAGTGCCTACAAATAAAAACCTTTACAGATTTCGACTCTTGGAGATTCTTCGTTCTTTGACATTTTATAAACCAATCAATCAAAACTCCTGCAGATTATTTGATAATGGAAAAAGTTATTAGTTGCCGCCTTAAAGTTACATTTCAGGCAGTTGCATATTTAAGTTTCTATTTCCTGCATACAAAAAAAAAAAAAGGATGAATATACTGTATGTATTCATTCTGCATGGATGAGACATCAATTCAGATAATACTGCAATGACCTAATCTGTTGCACTGCCCATTAGATGTGAATGACTTTGTTTTTTGAATACTAGAAGACTGACGCCAGTTGAAGTACATCCTGTTCTCACACTATGGGATCATGGTGGAGTGATTTGAACCCTTGACCCTAACATCCATAACCATTCACAGCTGCTGCACAGATGCAAATAAAGCCATAACAAGCTGAATAAATACCACAAATCAGCAAGTAGATCTGGTAACCTTTCACATCTATCTTAAGGCACACTACCACAAATGCTGCAGTGTTAATCACCTACATTTCTCTCCAACTTGAGCTTAAGTTAAAAAGTAATGGATGATAGCAGCTATATTAGTGGTATTGAGTCACAGCAGCCCTTTTGATCAACAAATTAAATCATTAATAAATGGTCTTATACTTGTATAGCACTTTTCTCTGCATTACAGTGCACTCAAAGCGCTTTCACACTACTTGCCCATTCACACTCCCAAACACTCACCCATTCACACACAGGTTATATCACTGAGATAATAAAAATAAGCATTATTAGAGCTACAACAGTAAATCTGTTTATTGCTTGGTATTAGCATGCAAGTGTTTAAGTAAATGACTACAAGGTATCCAGAGCATTCAAAGCATGTAGGTGAAGAGAAGAACAGGTATTTCACAGACAACTGGGTTTGATTTGTTTCCCAGTGTGTGGCCATCTATCTTAAGGCACACTACCACAAATGCTGCAGTGTTAATCACCTACATTTCTCTCAAACTGTCACAGTTGAAACAGACAACTGCAACCACTCCAGACACCGCACGCCTGTCTGAATCAAAAGCAAGTCTGAAATACTACCAAGACATAAACAACATACAATGTACTTGAAGTGACCAATCAACAAACATAAATGAAAAGGTTTTTATGATTAAACACTAAAAACCAAGTCCATGTCAGGCCTCATACAGAAAGTTGTATATATTTTAGTTAGTGTACCACCGGTCACCTTATGAATGAGATACAACCAAGGAGTCAAGACATAGAAGTTTGACAACTTTCTTGACATAATATATGAAGCTTTGAATTTAAACCACCTTTTCAAATCCCTTGAGCCTTCTCCAAGTTATAGGAAGGACTGAAATGAAAATGTCCAAGCTCTTCTTCTAGTTTGTGCTGCATTTAAGAAGAGGAAAGGGTGTGGACAGAGGTGTGTGGACAGGGGAAAGTGGCTGTGTCCCAATTCAGAGGCTGGATCTCCTCCGAAAATGGGGGTCGATCCTCAAAGATATCAAAATTAACATTCATTTGCATCAATAAACAGTGTTCTGGCTGGCGTCTTGGAGACATAGGGTCCTCTTTAAAAAGTTTTTCTCTTATTAGAATTGTTAAACTGGATGCTACAGAACATGAAAATATTGGTTTTACACAAAGATGCCAATAAACACCCCAACAACAACAACAACAACTCACACACCCTGACAGCATTAACACATGGGCTTTCCTAGAGGTGACACTCCCTGGCTAATGTGTGCCCATCAAATTCTGTTTTGAAGCCAAGGATAGAGTCGCTGCTCCTACACCCAAACCCTGTCCACCACACCCAGTCAGGCCAAAACACACGTTTATGTAATGCAGACTCAGAGCCAAAACCTGGATGATAAACAGCATCCAAATATCACTCGCATCTGCAGATGATACCGACTGCTTGTGTGCTTCCCACCTCATGCTGCTCTGCCAAGTGAAGACTGAGATCACACTATATGTAAGGATGCAAATGTGAAAACAGAGGTGATAGTCATCTTGGCAGCAGACACCGGAAAAGGCATCAGAGGAGCTGGATGTGCAGGCAAGAAATCTAAAGTGCAAAATACCTCAACATTTTTACATAAGTATCAGTGATGCATGACATGCTGCATGATGCCTCTAGCAAAGGGATTTCAACTAATGGCAACTGATAAACAAAGACATGTACACAAAGCACAACTTCTTGGACCTCAAGAGGCTCGGAGAAACTGAGGGAAAGAAAGCCATTTAACTGCCCATATCAGTACATGAGCATAGTTCCTAAAATCCTTAAATGCACGGGGTCACTTTTCTTAAGATTTTATCCTCCCCACTAGCGCCCGACATTTCCAACACTGTCACATCATGTGGGTTTTGGACCCTGTCAAAGACCCCTAGGAGGTCCCAGAATTTCACAATTGGGTCCACTGTTTATGAGTTTGTGTGTTTGGACAAAGCTCATGTGGAGCTGTAATAACATCATTTGTCTCGGCGAACAGATGCTCTTCTCTCCGTTTTAGCCAAAGGCCCAGTGCAGCCTCGCAGAACAATAGCGGTGTGCGCCGGGAAGCTTGCTGAGAGAAACACATGCATCCAGTCACTAAACTGAACCCGATACTATGAAGACGGCATCAGCAGAGTACATCCAAGCAAAACGTTGTGAGGAGTAAAGCAGGTTGATACCACCGCCCAGCCGTACCGTGCCATGCTAACGTTACGCATCCATCATCACATTCAGTCACAGCTGGCTACCCCGCATTACAAAGACGCCTGGCTTCAGTGCACATGATGTTTGAGGGCGAGCTTCACTCAGTAAAACAGTGCCTTTTGAGGTGCTTTACGGTTAAAATAATACAAATAAATGAGATGATATATATATATAGGATAAAGGTCAACTTAATTCCCGTTACGCTAAAAACGTTAGCGTTATCAAGTTCTCCGTACGTTACCTTTCAACCGCGTTCTCTGGTCTGGAAGGCTCCTGGAGAAACACACAGACCCTCCCTGTCGGTGCAGCACCGAGATGAGAATGCAATAACTATGTCGGCAAAGCTGAAAATATCACCGGACTAGCAACTTGTCCTTCCCTCCACGTTTGAACAGCGACAGGCGGTGGCAGGCTGCTCCTCTTCATGAAGGGTGGAAACGGGCGGAGGGAGTGTCCGTGGCAGATTGAAGCAGAAATGTGGTGGTCGTAAAAGAACATGGATATTACTGACCGCGACGCCCAATTAGAAGCGCGAGACCGGCGGTTATGCAAAACAGGAGTGACGTCACATTCAAATCAAGCTCGAGCTCTGTGTTTAACTAGTAACAGCATAGAATCCTACATTTCCCTTGAGGCAAATAATTGTGTAATTTTGTTTGAACCTCCTTGCCCGATAAATACAGACTTTGAAACTTTTTTTTGTCTCCGGGCCCGAGTTGAGATAGTCTTGATTACCCTGTTGTTTCACTTCTGTCTGCAGAGAAGAGAACAACAAGAGGAAGTACAATAGTTTCACCATTCTCCAGGTTCTATGATTCTTGCAGCTACACAAATTATGTTCAGCAACAAACATCATTTCAAGTTTGGCTCCTCTCACTGCAGTCAGTGGTCTTATGCACAGTATACTTTTGCCATGGTATAATGTCCTCCTCTTTTCTGATTTTCATCTTGGTTTCATCACTGGCCTTCTAAAGCACTGTGTAGGGTAATTATACTATATCATTATTCATTGCTTTGTAATAATAAAACATGGAACAACAAATCTACTTTGTGAAATAACCCAGGGGATGTTTCACATGGAAACTGTAAAGATTTTGAACTTGTCGGTGTCATTGCAATGAGGTTGTAGTGTGTTCAATGGTTTCCATCAGTCAAGTGTGGGGTTTGTGGTGTGGTCTTGTACCAAGTAACAAAAAATTATAAGAAAAGAGAAATGCAATCTTTTTAAACAGGGGTTCCAAATAATCTTTTCTTTTCATGCACTCTAGAAATGAAAAGTCAAAAATCTGCGACTCCAATAGGAGTTTCCCTTTTTATTTTACCCACGTGTTTAGTCTATGTACTTAAAATGAAATTTGAACTATCAAGTTGCATGAGTATTATTCCTCCTTCACCACATGCACAAGTAATTTTCTGTTGTGCTTTTGATAACTGGGAGCATGCTTGAATAGAACTGTTATTCTAAAACTTACATTGTTTATTTTCTGTAGTTTACAGTGCCCACTTCCTAATGGTTCACGCCCACACTGCTTGTTTGAATGTTGAGCTGCAGCTGCAGGCTGCACAACAGAAATCAATGAAAAGGAAGAAGACATACAAAGACTTTTGCAGCTTGCAGAGAAAGACAGAATGCTTTCAGCCATCTAACATCAACTGCTGTTTTGTCTGACAAAAACTCAGAGATGAAGAGAAAGAATGGAGAAAAGGACCCGAGCAAATAGAGGAATGAAAGCTTCCCAGAAATCATCACACGTGGACTTGTCAGCGCACACGTCCTCAATAAAAAGTGAGAGTATGAGTCATGTCTCAGCTCTGCCTCTCTCCATCAGTAGCTGTTTCATCAGCAGCCCATCAGCCTTTCCAATTGGCAAGGGGCTCTGCGCCAGAGGAAGGGGGAAAACCCAAAACTCTAATTCAAGTTTCACTAATTCTTCAGCCTAAACTCACTGTTGCTGAACCTGACCTGCAACTGATGATCAATAACAAAGATTATTCAGTTTCTTAATGCAAATCTGAACTCATACATGTGAAGCTCTTGGCACAAGAAGCTAGCTCTTGGGTGTGGATTCACCAGAAGTATGTGTGTAAACCATTTTAGTATTTTATTTGACTAAACTAGGCACTAATGGCATCCACCATTACATTACAGAGCTGAAAAAGCCACTAAATCCCCCTCACATCCTGCACATTAGAGATTGCTTCATAATGCTGTTATACCAGGGCGTGGCTCAGCACCGGGCTCTGGGAAAATGCTTAACAGAATTAGGATAGACTGATCATTTAAGGGGCTTTTATACAAATACTTGACATATTTGAAACCTGTTTATATAGTATGGGCTGGTCACCCATCTGCCCAAACACCTCATAGTGAAGACAGCTGCACACACTGCCACACTCTGCAAGGTCCCTTTCCCCAACCACCCCCCTACATAAACACATAGTCATGCCTCTCTGTAGTTGTGAGGGCACTCATTGACATAACGCATTCCCTTGTCCCTTACCCACACCTTAAAGCTGGGAGAGGGAGTGCTGGGCGGAGCAGAGTGGATTGATTGGGAGTTTTGTGGTAGTGCTACCATAACATACTGTGGCTTTAACCATCACAAATAAATACCTAACCCGAACCCCTATCCTAACATCTTAACCTTAACCCCCAGACAGCCTTCTGAAGGGATAAAATGTCCTCACAACAGTGGTACTGAACAAAGATTTGCCCACACAATGTAATAAACAAATGTACTCACCCACATACTTATAATAAGGCAGATGCAGCAAACAAACTGAGGTGGCTGAGACTCGGTACATAAGGTACGAGGCAGGAAGAGGAAACTGCGGCTGCTGCAGTCCTGTATTTTTGATCTGAGGTGCTTTGTTAGTATCAAAGGCCCTGAAGTTCAAACAGCAAGTCACAATTGAATAACTGGAGCACATTTCAATTCAAGCTGAGATCAAAGTGGCATCAACAAAGGACCACCACTGACATCAACGCAATTAGCTATAGCGATCTTACCTGTCTGCTTTCAAAGGCACTGAGTAATCCAACATATAGTAAGTAATACATACACATCATGTGAAAAATTGTGATTCTGATAATTCTCTGTTCTAGGAAGAAATGCTTATGAGGTGCTGTCTACCTTTCCTCCTCTCTCACAGAGTCAGACCATCAAAGCATTATTACAGCAGTACATAATGCATGATGATGTTAGGTTAAGTGGTTGGAAGGCAAAGACGTTCTGCATCAGTTGCCAAGCCTCACTTCCTGGAAATGAGCTCATTATATCGGACTGTACTGAAAAAAGAAAAAGATCCAAGAATGTAATTTCCTTTCTCTGAGAGCAGTGTGCTGCAGTGTCTCAAATGAAACGTGAAGGGGATTCACAACATCTGTGTGTGACTGTGGTTTAAACGTCCTTAGACATAGTTTCCTTTAAATCCTCAGTGTGCCCTTTTCATTTGCCAACAAAGCAGACAGCACAGTATTGCATAAATCAGTGTCAACATATGAGCTACTTGCTCCCTCTTCAGGCAATGCAAAGGAACTGCGTGTGAATGAAACTACCAACAACATTGTTACAGTGACATCTCGTGTCAGAAGGTGGCTTCCTTAATCAAGATAGATGATACATAAATAAATAAAACTATTTTGATATCAAAGGTGATCCAGGAAAATTTAATCAGTAGATGGGGTATATATGACACAAAGTAGATGACTTTGGGGTTTGCATTTCTCAAGTACAAGTGAAGATGATTTGTATTAAAGACACGATACCATAAAACTGTTGGTAAGAGCCATCTACCATCTTTATCCAAAGACTCTAAGAGTAATTAGCTTAACTGTGGCAGTGTTTGCTTATTAGACAGAATACAAGATCACTGTGAAAAAAAAGTCATCTTACACTCCATTAACTTGTTTGAACCTGAGATCATCCTCTCACAAAGTAAACTATTATCCTAAAAACACAGTCTGGAGTCCAGACAGAGGCTCCTTTAACTGCTGTGCATTTTATGCAGAGCAAAGAAAAAAAAAAGAACAAAGAAACAAAGAACAAGGAAAAATCTTAAAAAGCTATTCAAGTGTCCAATGTATGCAAGTCACTGGGCTAGAGTTTTAAACAGGAGCTCATTATGAAGACAAGAAACAGACGAAAAATCACACAGCCTCACAGGACATTACTACACAGATGTTTCCACTATGATTTAGTCTTCTTGTTATGTGCCCTAAACCCTGCTCTATTTTGTGAGGCAAATCAAGTCTTTTTTATTTTAAAACATATCAGATAAAATTTGTTCATGGCCATTGCTGTTGTCCAGAAATGAAGAACGTGGGGAAACATTAACAAGTGACATACTTTGGCATCACTAAAAAGAAACATGCACATATCTCTGGAGAACAGCTGTGCTTGTTGTTAACTAATCGCAGGCTATGCCGAGAGCTTCTTTAGTGAGTGAGTGCATCCCATTACAATGGATCATTCCTCATACAGATATAGGCAACACAATCTACTGCAGCAATCAACAACACAACAAAGATCCATATTTAAGGTAATATGATTCTTGTGTGGCAGAACCGCAGCCAAAGAATCTGTTTGAAATTTTATATTGTATATATAGTAGTTATATTGATACAGCTTACAAGAGAGCGGACAGTTCCACACCTGAGACCTCAGATATTTATCTTTCCTGACTGTCTAAAAACACTTCTTACTAGAAGGTGGATTTGTGTTTCTCATTCTGTATACGTTATGAATCATGCCATTTCAAAATAACAAGCTGGATGAAGGGTAAAGGATCTATTGTTGGATCAGTTGGTGAGCTGTTTTAATGACTCGCTTCAAGAGCCCTGTCCTCAAGAGATAACAGATTTTAAAATAGTATAAAAGTGAAAAGCACAACAATAAAAGCAGTCAGCACCATGTATGCACTGCTACACTCGCCATCATGGCATCTGTACCCACTTGGTATCTTAACTACAGGTTCTGTTCCTGGTTCAGCATTACTAAATACATTTAAAACCACTGAGTTTTGTTTTAAAAGCCAACAAGGAACTGAGAAAGGTCCTGTCCTTTATGAACCCTAGTTCCTGTTTTTGTAGATTCAGGGTCACGATCCTTCTAGAGTGCCAGTTCAGCTGATGGCGATGCCTCCTTCTGGTGAGTGCTTTGGTCCGGCCCAGATACAGTACAAAGAGGATGGATATCCCAAGTATGCAGTGTATCCCTGCATACTTGGGGGTGGTGGCTAGTAAGGCTTCTGAGGTCACTAAGGTCAACTTCAGTTCACCAGTAGGACGTCCTCATATGTCTTTGTTCTGGGGAAAATCACAGAAATAGCTAATGTAACATTCTTCTACAGTTATATTTTACATCAAAATCACATATTTTTATTTAGAGTCACACAGTGGAGGTACTGAAAAATATTTCAGAGATGGTGACAAAAAGGATGACCTCCTACAGACATGTAGGAGAAACAAACCCTCTACCTCAAAAAGCTTACAAAGTCATGTTGCCATGTAAAAATATTGTAACTTCAATGTGTTTTTTTTATTTTGTTGACATTTTGCTTTTATTTTGATATTGGCAGTAGAGAGAGTGGCAGGAAATATGGATAGAGGGAGGCGTATGACATGGAATCAAACCAGTGACACTGGCATTATATGGCAGGTGATCTACACACAGGCCACTTGACAACTCTTGTTTCCCTTCAGTGCCTGATCCACTGTGACTCAGATAACCTATAAAGAGGGTGCAAGAACACTGGCTGTCACACTTCTTTTAGCTGTTTTCTCTGCCGGTGTTTTCACAACTTTGTTTCTGTTCAGTTTATATCTGGGGGAGCTCCTAGTGCTGACGGCCCATTGTTTTGTAAGCCTTGTTGGCTTCCCTCCCTTTTGTTATCTTTGGCCAGCCTGTCATTCCCTTCTCAATTCATTTTGTCAAGATAAATTTTGGTCTCAAATGTATTAAAAAGAAGGCAAATAAAATACTGTTTAACTGCGACCCCTTGACTGTGTGAATTATGTTACTGTCCTCTTCAAAATAAGAGCTTTTCTGGGCGTTGTAACAGATACACTTAGATAAAATAATTCAGCAGTTATCAATAAATCACCACACAGAGATCACTGTGATCCTGCTCCTGTCCCCCTCTCATGTCTGCCCTCTCCTCCTCACCCGTCACAGCAGCAGAAGAACGAGCATGGTGAGGTTTCCAGACCCCTAAACTTCCCAGAGCTCGGTGCATCCGTACACTCCTCTATGAAGGCATGTAGGTCTGTGATGTGGATGGGTTCATGGGTTTGGTGCTGTATAAATCAACAAGAAAACATTATTGTTATTTTTTAATTCTGTTATCCTCCTGTGTCTTCCCTGCTCTGTAACAGTGACACCATTCTAAAAAGCAGAATTGATAAACCTGGTTGATGCCAATCCCATTTCCTACCTTAATGGTCTCATAGGCTCCAGTGATGAGGGCGATGAACAGCGACAGCACCATATAGATGAAGAGCGAGATGAAGGTATACAGGTAGACTTGGCTGAACAACCACACCAGAGTGCTGCTCTCCTGCATGTTTGTGAACGTCACAAACATGTCGTCTCCGTTAATGAGGGAGAACAGGCACTCCGACACCATAGCCAGGGAACGAAACTGAAGGAGTGAAAGCAGCAAAGATAATCAAACCTCCACAGATGTGAATGAATGAAGAACTAAAGCTAAAATGGGTTTTACTGCCTTAACCAAAACAGTAAACAATGTTTCACACAAACAGTTTAAACTGGAGAAATCTAATTTCAGCAATTGTGCATATTGCACCAACTCAGCAGGTCTACTAGGGGAGGAAAGGGACAAAAACCGAGAGACCAGATTGCTGTGGTTTAACTCTAAAGTTACACTGTCTGTGAGCTGCACCTCTGTTAAGAAGCATGAGGAGGAAAAAAGGGTGGCACAATAAGCTTCAGGCTACACAACGTTAGTGTGTAGAAAATCTTTTGCTGCATTGTTTTCTACCGTATTGCGTTGTTTGGATTATGCGGTTTTTGCTTGCATTGTTTTGGCGTATTTCATCATTTACAGACCGAACTAAATCATCCAATTTAACAACAGTTTAAAAGAAAACATGAATCCTTAAACAGAAGTGATAAGATTTATTTGAAGTAAACAAAGAGTTGCATGTGATGTAGGGTGTGGACACCTGAACCGAGCTGACAGGACCCGTCAGATACCCGAGGGTTCAAGCTGGGTGTGGACAGAAACTCAGAAATTATGTTAGGGTCCATGTCAGGTTTGGATAAGTAGGTCAAACTTTAGGCTAGATGACTGAAGAACTCAAATGTCCAGTTTATTTAATGATAACGAGAAAATCGCCATGTAAACGCAACTGCATCGGGCTCGGGTCAGGTTCAGACATTATATACTATAAGCTCGTCAGGTCCAGGTCAGGTTCGGATGCCACACACCTGGGCACAGGAGAGAAAAATGCAGTCCCATCCATGCTCTAATGTGATGGCAAAGTTAAAAGCTAAAACTGAAATATGTGACCACATATAAAAGAACAAATATACATTTTTAACACCACACAAGTGGTTTTACTACACCATGCGATTACCCTCAAGTACATCAGAGTTTCAGTTGTGTTCACCTTTACGTGGTATGGTCCCAGGACGATCCAGCCACAGAAGCAGTAACCCAGATAGATGACGGCCACGCATAGGCAGAAGCGGATCACGCTGGGTAAAGCTATTCGTAGCGTGATGATCAGGATCTGTGGGAGGCACAGAGATGCTATAATTACACAGCGACAGGGAACAGAGAGACTAGATCAACTGGATTTATTGCATTACACTGAACCATTAATAGGAATAGTTTGTTACCCTCTGACAAGTGATTAAATCAGCAGTGAGTTACAACAATGCTAGCTGAAGCACGCCAGTGTGTCTGTGACTTACATTGTATTTCTGGAAGAATGTGAGGTAGCGAATGACTCCCACCCACACCAGGAGGGTAGAAGTCCCCAGCAGGATGCCACAGAGGTCATAGGAGGACATATTCTGCCACGGAAATAATCAAAGAAACCACTGTGACAACAAACGCACAATAATCACTATATACTGTAGATGGATTTATCTGTGACTTACAACTTGTTGCTTGCTGAACATTTTAAATATGGATGATACCTACATTTACACCATCGCCACAAAAAAAAAAAAGATGTATTCTGATTGGCTGGAAGGTGTGGATTAACTTTTAGTAACTGCTTAGTCTGACTGAACACGTTAAAGTCATGTGGCTTATGATGCTTCAAAAGAGTTTCACAATGGCTAGTTGTTATAACCACCACCAACAACCAGAAAGAAAGGATCAATTATTTTAGCCAGTGGGAACCACACAGATGCTGAAATTGGAAAAAGGCATCAAATGTAGTTACGTGTAAATTAATGACTGATATTTTTAGCTCATTAACTCACTGAACACATACAACATGTTGGTTATTATTCCTTATATAACTGTGTAACAAGAAAAACTATAGCAGCTATTGCCAATGAAGGATGCGGCAATAAGGAGACACACCTTAGTCTCGATGCCGATTTTGACGATACTGCCAGCGATGGTGAGAATGTCACTAATGATAAGGAGGATGTACCAGCCGTTAATGAACTCCAGGCGGTCTGCCCAGCACACTCTACGGTCCATACTCTCCTTAAAGAAATGCACAAACTCCTGAAAAAACACACAGAAAGAGGAATTGGCACAACTTGAAGAAAGAGGCTACATGCAATCAGAAGTTAATTGACTGTGTGTTTATATACAGCAAATACTGTAGCTGATTTTAAAATGATAATAATCTGTAGTTTTCTAACTATTACTGTGAAACAAGGTATTGTTTTGCACTAGGTTTCAGACCTTTTCATCACTTATTTTAGCGCAGCATTCTTACCTAATACAGAGTGATTCTGTATAGACTGGCCCGATTTAATACTTATAATTCAAAGCTCTCATTCTGTGGTATGATTTCCTTTCATATGGCTGTAGCAGGCTTTTCTTTACCTGTTGCAGTATGATGCCCCGCAGTATGGAGCGTCCACAGAGGAGCAGTGACACCGTACACACCACGGCCACAATGACATCAAAAGCTACACGTGAAAAGCTGTCAGCTGGTGGTTTAAAAGGAGAAAAAACAGGTGTAAGCAGTGCTTCACTTTACTGTGGCTGTGCCCCTACAGCTACAGAAAATACCAGCATCTTCAAGCTGTTTCAGTGATGATAACTGTAAGCAACTTGTAACACACAGAGGTGGAAAGTAACTAAGGACCTTTACTCATGTACAATTTTGACGTATCTGTACTTTACTGTTTTTAGTTTCTGCTACTTCATACTTGCTGCTCTCTCCTATGTTTAAGAGTCCTAACGATCCACACATCTGGTTTCTCACCGTGTCCAGAGACACTCGGGTCTTTACACTCAGCTATTGATGCGTGATTTTCTAATTGGATCTTCACCATGCCGCTGTGAGCCTTGTTGTCCATAACTATCTAGAAGAGAGGGAAGACCAACAGACAATTCACAACCTTTGAAGATGTTTTTTTTAACAAATATTAAAAAAAAAAAAGCCATATATTGGTGTCATTTGCTTAAGAAGTCAGCTATATTAATGTCATTTTCATAACTATGAAAGAGAATTACAGCCACTGTGAAAAATGTATATGAGTTTTGACTTTGCCCCTCAGAAATCTGACTCTTTTAAAGTCAGCTTCAAAGTCAGAATTCAGAGTTTAATTTACTGTATACGTATAATTAACATATTAACTTGACCAATCACTTTTTAAGGGCATTTTCTCCCAAACATATGACCAAGGAACTTCACCACAACAGTCATATTCATCTCATTATGATAAATGGAATAAAAATTGTGTAAAAGAGCAAAACTGCTCCATCCAGAACACTTTTTCACAAAACACCATATTTGCTGTTGCTCAAGAATTCATTCAATTATCTTTCTCCTCTATAATCCTGTGAAGATCACTGGCCCTTGATATCTCAAGTAAGAGCACGTTAGCAGTGCTGAGAACTGAACCATCAACTCTCTAACGCACCTGTCAGTGCATTACTTCTGTATAAAGCAAGTATTAAAATACAAAGTATGTGTCTGCCTTTAAGATTTTGACTCACCCTTATGTAAAAAGTGTAGCAGTCTGGGATCTCATTGTTTATGATGGTTTGTATATTGATCGCCTTCAACTGGAACTCTATGGTGACATTAATGAGCCTTGGAAAAGACGAGACAGACAGACAAATAGAAATTGAGAGCAAAAGGGGATGACTAAAAGTGACCAGAAACTTGGCTGAAGCAGGATGTTAAACTATGCAGCCCTGTGTCATGCTTTAGTGTGCAGCAGCGATAAGTGACTTGTTGAATGTATTACCAGATACCACAGAGATAATATGGCCAGTGGAGGCCAAACGAGAAGAAGCCGAAGCCATGTCAAAGATGAAGCCTTACTTGTGGAATTTGAGGGTTAAGTTCTTGTAGCTGCTGCTGTGCAGAACTGGATGGGCCGACAGAGGGTTTACACCTATACAGTCTGAAAACAGTGGAGAACAGACACAGACTGTCATGCTGTATAAATAGTGGCATATATCAAAACTGAAATCAAACACAGGGAGGGGAATGGATTTCTACTCTCTGGACCTTTTTCTGTTTCTTTGTGCATAGTGACTACTAAATAAATACAAGTATTTAACTATGTTAGCATCATTAAAAGTAGCAGAAAAACATGTGATATGAGAAAGAAACATGAGGTTGATTCCAGTATGTTTACTTCCTTTTATTTTGGTCAAATCTGTCTCAAACACACATTCATATGAGGAAGTGAGAAACTCTGAGGGTACATAACATCTTTTGCCATTGGAACCATGTATGATGTAAATATACATAAGGAACTTGTACAAGTGTTTATCCAGTATTTCTCCTTCTTTTATGAAAACATTTTATATCGTTACAGCTGTGTTTCCTATATTATCACTTAGGATCCATTTATTTACACCAGCCTCCACTTAGGGGTGCTCACACAAGGAGTTATAGTCACTGCTGTCAAATACATTACTGAACACTTACATCTGCTTATAACACATTATAGTGCATTATAAACCTTTTAGATTTTTATGTACTGCCTATAAAAGCTAAACTGGGGGTTAGAGTGAAGTGTCACAGAGTAATCATAATCACCTCTGGTAACAATAATAATAATTAGGAGTTCTGTCTTTCACATAACTTTGGACAAAGGGTAAATTAATTCACGTGAAATTTCATCACAGGGGAAAACCATATTATAATACAAAATTACACGAATTACAAAAACCAGCCACTGAATAAATAATTCTTTAGAAGTAAAAATTATTCCACAAATTCTACATGAATCCCTGCAAAGGTGCGATCTTTACAAGCATGTTGCGCTCAACAAAGACAAAAAAGCAGACCTTTTCACATAATTATGATTTCTGTATCTAATACTTATGATGTACTATCATAATCACAAGATCAGGTGTAACACTGGGTTTTGTTAACCTGATAAGGTGCAGAGGTAAACTGCCACTGTCAATGTTTACAACCACATAACATCACCACAACGCCTACTCGGATGCATTTCTGATGCAAGACTTTGTATCCATTATACATCACGTTCTGTTTTCATTGCTCCTGAAGAAACACTGTGTGTTTTTCCTTCAGGTCAGTGTGCACTTTCTGTCTCAGCAGTCCCAAGAGATGCATGTGCAATGTTCATATAATATTAATAATACCACCAACATCTCCCATTGTGTTGAACCAAGTAGCAAATAAATGCCAATTAAAGTAGTGCCATCATACTCTTCTCAAATAGCAACAATTGATCACATCTTCTAAGTACAGACCATTTTGCAGACAATTCCTTCCAAATTACTAGAAGCTCACAGTTTCAGTAGAGCATGAAATGAAAGCCAACTGGAATTGCAACTGTTTACGTCATGAACGTAGTAATTTTTCATTATTTAAAAAAAAAAGCCTTTGTAACCGTTTGTTGGTGAACACACTCCGGGTCTGGTAGCCAACATTCCTCCTACACAGAAGTCTCTTTTTGAAGTGATAAAAGAGGCTGTTTGTGTTGCTCCCTCAGGCAACAACTGCCATGATGGATAGTCTGTCAGTAATTGTACTCTGCTTGACCTCTGAGTTTTTTAAAAGCCAAACAATATTCAGACTATACATGAGGCACCCTTTATAAAAACAGTTCTTTCTTTAAGTAGTCTGCCTCTGTAGCACTGTCTCAGTTTTTATTGTTTGCTTTAGTGACCTAGTTGTCTGCTGCTCTGGTTAACATACAGCTGTAGAGGGTGCCTCGATAGCGTGGCGTACAATATACCCAGGCGCAGTGCATGCATGATGTCGGTGGTTCAAGTCTGACTGCTGACATTTGTCTGTCTCCCTTGTTTCCTGCCGGCCTTTCCATGACCCACTTAAAGAAAATAAAGGCAAAAGTGTCCAAAATAAATAAAAATACTGATTAAAACATGCAGAACTACTCATGCTACTCATTTCATATGATGTGACAATCGATCATTTGATGTGCTATTCATACCCGCTGCAGCCACCATCATTAATGCCATTTGGCAGAACCAGTCACTTGCCACAGAGATAAAAAGTTCACACATTAGCACTGCACAGGGTTGAGAACAGCTTTCTACCAGTGTGAGCAATGCTTAACTGGAATTACAGGCCAGCAATGTCTCCTTCACACTGTACAGTGTTGTTCACGTACCGGTGATGACGTGAGGGTCTATAGTGAAAGTATCGTTAGCTGGGTCAATGCATCCCTTCTTGTAGTACTGCTGACAGAGGGACAGTGCACTGCCGTTCACACCGACCCCATAAACGTATGCGTAGCGTCCCACTGTGGTCTCTGGTAAGGCCAGATACTGGGGAGAGGATGAGAGGAGAATAACTGAAAAAAAGAGAAAGACTGGAGCTGAGTCAGGGGCTGAACTGAACACTAACACACAGACACTCCCACAGATGGTTGACTAGCTTATAGCTAACATCTGTACAGTCGGGCATTAAATAAACACACACAGTCCAACAGTCAAATTTACATGAATGACGCAAGGCGAAAATTTCACTTTCTGTCAGAACAAAGAGTCGTGATAAATTAAAAAAAACAAACAATTGAGTTACATTACTGTCATGTTGTTCATACACTGTTCTGTCTTTTCCCAAAACTGGCAGATTTTCCAGTGTCACCCTCTGAATTATTTGTATAAGGATTCAATAAAATGCTGTTTTCTTTACTGACATTACAGTTTAAACTGTAGTTGCTGCATAAAACATTTAATCTAGTGTTAATAAGTGGGTCACCATGTCAGTGATCTTTTATCGAGTTGCTTTTGTGGGGAATTCCAACAAGCACACAAACAGCGAGGGCTTTTTGTGACTACCCAATAAAACTTTCAGACCACCAAGCCAACATATAATGAAGTCGACATTGGTTATACTGCGTTACATTAGTCTAACTTGAGCCTATAAGTTTACAGATGCCAACACAGTTTCCAGAAGCTTTAGAAGGTTTTATTACAGCTGGTTAAAAAACATTTCTTTAGCTGCTTTCACTGAATTTTTATCAAGAACAAATGAAAATTAAAACTCCCAATATCACATATGGTACTGTCTGCAGTATTTTATGCAGAATGAAGGATTCACCGTGTCAAGATAAAAGCTGCAAACGCACACATGAGCAGGAAATTTTAAAAGAAGACGGAATAATTTAAACGACTGCACTTCCTCATGGTGTCACAATGTAAGACAGTTGAAGGGAGTTTCTCACATTGATTGAACAGCGTTCACATTACTTATTGCAAAACCTCTGGCTGTAACAGTGTCACGCTGAACCAATTTAAGAGAATTGGAGAACTGCTTCAGCAGGTGGTTTCTTATATTTAGATCAAAAATTTTTTATTGTCAATTCACTATATGTGCAGGGCTTACAGAAAAATCGAAATACTGTTTCTCTCTCACTTAATGTTGAATGCCCATACCATTTAAGAAACTAAAATAGAATAAAAGTAGAATAAACACAGAATAAATAGAATATGAACACTGAATCCAAGTAATAAGGATAAACATGATACAACCTAATAGGCTATGATGAAACTCAAGCCATGTGCAAACAGTGACAGTGGTGCAAATAATAACAAGATTTAAGCAGCTTTTTTTCAGTTTTCTCAGGACTTACTTGCTCCACGGCATAGACGATGTGGTCATAGACGTCTTCCTGTGTGTAAACAGCTAATGTGCTGTCTGAGGATTCATCATAGTCTTTGAGGAAGAGGTGCTTGAAGGTCATCGTGTTCTCCTCTTTGAAGGTCACCACCACCTGGTTACTGAGGCCAAACAGCACTAACTGTAAGCAAAGAGCAGAAAGATGGGAGCGTGTTGAAAAAGTCGACAAGTCCAAGAAAGAAAATAGAGGGAAGACTGACATACAGTATGTCATAAGGAGGTATGGGGACCAAGAAAAACCCTGAGGTGGTACGCTCCAGGTGCACAGCTAAGAGTGCAGGCTTTGTACCTAAGAACTATTCTATAATTTATGTCTTTTCTACCAGTTACTGAGAATGTACTCTGCTTTTGCACCTCATTAATCGCTGACAGTCCACTACCTAGTAAGTAAAGATGAGGGTTGTGTACTGACCCGGTAAAACTGAGGCTATACAAGTCTGCATTATTTATAGTAACAGTTTTATTTATATTCCATGATATAATCAGCTGATGTGTGGCTTTCACACAGCCTCTCATATACACTGACTGGCCACTTTACTAGGTACAACTGTACAACTGTATGCAATTCAATGCAACAGTTCTGCCTTAACATCTGTGTTTATGAAGCCTAAAATATTTCAGTTTTTGGTGAAATTGTCATAAATGTATAAATTCAATTATATGTTTATTATTATCCTAGTTAAATGTGATGTTGTACAGGACTACATTATATTCAGTGTGAATGTATGTCTGTAGACGATTTTTCTTTAAATCTGGAAACTGACTTACATACATAAGATGTGATGGGATGGAATCCCTTTCCATGTACATGTTGTGTCCAATAGTTATATTTTTTTACCTTCTTCACTTCTCTGTATTAAAAGTGTACACAATATTCCTTACAACCCTGAACTGTTCTGTAATAATATTGTGGTTTTATAAGTTCCCGTGTCATTTTATAGTTGCGTTCAGGTTGGGGTAAGGACAATTTAAAAGGTGCTAAACAGAGACACAAATGAATGTGTGCAACATTTAACCAAAGGACCCTGGACTCCATTAAACAACAAACCAGGAAACCACATTCTGTCCTCTGGCTCTGTGACATTGGTCAGTAAGTAAAAAGAGTTTCCAAATCCACATCAAGAGAGCAGATTTCTAGAAACTGTACATACATAGACATACTTTACAGATACAGCGGGTCTGATACAACAGGCAGAACAACACAGAATAAAGACGTAACATGTGCTGTACCTGCACTGTGACAATGATGATCTTGAGCAGCTGCAGGACCAGCTTATAGGGCTTGCGGCCCTTGGCGTGATATTTATCACAAGGGCTCATAAAGAAGTATTTCAGCTTTCTGCGAAGTGCCTCCTCTTCTTCGCCAGTGCTGACCCAACGACGTGCTGTCGCTGTGGGAAACGAATGGCCGCTGTGGTTGTTGCAGTGACTCTTATGGTCATGCTCACCAATGCAGTCGGTGGAGCCGTAGTGAGCCATCGAGCAGAGCAGGCCGTCTTGTTCTAACAGAGACACATGAACATTTTCTCAGTGATGCTCATGCAAATTTTAACTGAAGTTTTCCAAAAACTTCATCACGGTCAACAAGATAAAAAACACTTGATTCATCTTCGATGGGACATTCTACTAAAATGCAACCAAGGAACCGAATGAGAAACTAAAAGACTGCTGAACAAGCTCCCACTGAGTATAGGGGAAATTAAAATGATTCTTAAAAACTTTGCACCACATTAAAACATCTTAACACTGTGGGTGCTCTCCAAGTCCTATATGCGTCGGCGGTACTACAACCCAATCAATAAATCTGGGCTGGGCTGTTAATAAAGCAATGCCAAAAGACACAATTGAGTTTATTCAGAAACAGTGACTCTGTAGTTTCCAGTTCTTTCACAACAAGAAATCAAAGACCACAGGGTGTAGCAGGAAGTGTGTATTTATGTTATGTGTTAATGTAAAAAAAAATTAAAAACAGCCCAAAACACCTCAATGGGTCATTTAAGCACTTAAATAACACTGTTGGTATCTGTGTTAAAGAACCAGTCCTGAACTGGTTGTAGCAGATACAACATAATTCTTCTGAACTTTATTCACATGCTACATTTTCTCTTACATACACATGGCTTCTTCTACATCAGCATTAATATCTTCCACTCTCATTACAATGGACAGTATCTTCTGTTTAGGTTCATAGGTCTGTGTGGCCATGACCTGAAAGATGGTGATGTTTGTCACTATACAACTTTTGTCTAGGCTGAAATATCTGTTGGATGGATTGCCATGAATTAATGATGCCCAGAGGATGAAGCCCTTTGACTCTGATGTGCAATCATGAGGTTGACATCAGTGGTTTTTAATGACATTTCTTAATCTTTGGATGGATATCCATCCAACATGTTGCAGACATTTTTGTTCCCTCCCGGATGAACTGTAAAAACTCTCTTGATCCTGAGTTTAAGTCCAATTATAAATGTGCTCAGTACTTTAGTTAATAACAAAAGAATGGGAAAACTAATGACATTCCCATCAGCCTCAGCTCTACCATGTTTTGTTTATTGGCTAATTAGCAAATGAAAATGGTAAAAACGTTACACCTGCAACAATAAAGTGATTAGGCAAAACAGAGAGAACAGCATGAGTACATGAGCGGCTACTGTGTTACAGTAGGACAGCTGGCCGAGAAGAAAGGTGGCAAACACATGAGCTGGCTTTCACAAAGTGCTGAGCTAGTTGTTTCCTGCAAAACATGACTCCACTGTTTACTTACGGACACAGCATCCTGTCAGCACCCTGCACCTCCAGTTTTCACCTCAGTGACCCACCTTCCCTTTGTCTCTTACTGTGTATGGCTTTACTTTACTTCTCTGTCCTCTCTGACACTTTAAACGTGGTCAGCGTGATTTAACTCCAACAGGGACCAATAAAAATGTATGTTGCTGAGGACCATCCTCCAAAGTACAGGGTACAAATAATAATCAATATGTGACTTTTACAGCTGTCTTTAGAATGTTAATGCCGCCTAAAAACTCTGCTGCACTTCTTTCATTATAAACTTTGGAGAGGAGTCATTCTTTAAACTACCAGTCTTAGGTACACAAATGTATTTCACCCAGTGACGTGGAAAAGGACAAATAAATCTCCACTGCTACTTACTTCTGATATCAGCATAGCAGATAACTAATCTGGCCTGTATAGGTTTGACAAGGAACAAATGTATTATCTAGGTTACACAGATAAACCTAGTATGTGTTTACAGGGGAACACTGATAGGTGTCACTAAACATGTTCTCCCGAATGTGATGACAAGGCATTTTATGTCATATTAAGAACCTTTGAAATGACACTTCTGTGAAATGATCCCTTGTACTAAAACTGTCACATGCTCTGGCTTCTGTACAGACATTCTTACTTTGGTTGTGAAGGAAAACACCTACATCCTTGTTCACTGTATAGCCAACTAATCTAAATTGTGAATACTGTGCAAAACACTGTACATGGTCTTAACTTAAAATAACATATTTTGAATTAGTGATAAGAAAAGGTAGTGGAGAAATAGATAACAGAGCATCCTAACCTGCATTAAGAAAGGTGTTAAGGACAACAGAGTTGTTAGTTTGCACCTGGAAATAAAGCTGGTCAGTCTTGCAGGAACCACCCATGTTTCGTAGCAAACCCACAAATCCAAGTGGGATAATTATACTTAATGCTTGTCACATGCTTTGAGCTCAGTAGACCTGGCTGCTCCAAAAAAAACAAGGGTTACTCAGTGAGTTCACTCCCCTAACATTAACGAAAAGACTCTAAGACAATAAACTCAAGAATGGACATAAAAATATGACCTTATGTGTTTGTTGTTTATTATTCGACAGACTTGGATAACTTATTTAAGTACTACTATGCAGTCAAAGTCATCACATGCAAAGTCAGATACACGGCTGAGTCAGACCGAGTTCCAAACTTGCGGTAAACCACAAGCTGAGCAGATTTGTCCACTTCTCTGAAATGAGGTGTGAAACAGCAGGACAGCTCCAATGGTGATTAATATCAGTCAGCACTAAATATAAACAACAGAAAACCGTTACACAGTACAGTTTGGGAGTGGCATAACTTTAAATACTTATCATGTCATGTGTTATTCTGGCACTGCAGTCAAACAGTAAAAGAAATGGTATTTGTCAGATTTCCTGTTTTGAAAATAGTGCATTGCTTAGATTCACTTCTGTACACACAATCTGATTGTCAGAGGATCAGTTTGGCAACTGCAAATAAAAGGAAAGGGCTTCATTGTATTTTTTTTAATAACCACCAAATGTCAACAACCAACAATACCAACAACTAAAAGACTTCTACAGATCACCACTACATGACAATTATTTGACTGATTCATTTTTATTTCTGACACTGTTAAAGGTGCAATCTGCATTTTTTGTTCTGAAACATGGCCGCTCCTGTGTTTCAGTCAAAGTATTTATCCAGTTAATTTAGTGACTCCACTTCACAAGACAGGCCCTGTGCTGATGTAAACAAACAATTGAGAATGTAAAAAACACTGTTGATTATGTACACTACCAGTAAAACTTTGGACACACTGTCCCATTTAATTCAGTGGATAAGTATGTCCTAACATTTGACTAAAGAAGACTACTAAAGACTAAAAGAGTACTCTGCTGATTTAGCACTGTCAGATCCATCATCAATAGTTAAAAAAAAAAATCAAAATCAATCCAGCAGAACCAGTGAAACCTTTTTTTTTTTCCACTGTGCATCTTCTGTGACTCCGTTTGCTTCCATAGTTCTACTGTCAGGAAGAGCACGAATGTGTCGACCATTCAGTGAAAAAAATGTGTAAAAGGAGTGAGAACTGTGGTGGAGAGGACAAGTTAGAGATAATATTTTGCAGAAATTCACAAGTCTCCCCACTCTAGATGTGATATCACCACTCTAGCCACTGGATGGTTCTCTTCATAGAGACCAATGTACAGTATTTCTCATTTTCAACCATTTTAACAAAGATTCAAACTAAATGGAATCTTTTGAAAATTATGAAAGAAATTTCAAAGTTTATTCTCCAGTAGATCAAGCTCATCATCAGTAATCCTTGGGCATCCATGACCCTGTCACCAGTTCACTGTTTGTCCTTCCTTAGACACTGTTGATAGGTAGTGACCACTGCAGACCAGGAACACCCAACAAGACCTGGAGTCTGGGAGACGCTCTGACCCAGTCGTCAGCCATCACCGTTTGGCCCTTGTCAAAGTCACACAGATCCTTACGACTGCACATTTTCCCTGCTTCCAACACATCAACTTGGAGGACTGAGTGCTAACTTGCTGCCTAATATACCCCACACACTGACAGGTGCCACTGTAACCAGATAATCAGTATTATTCACTTCACATGTCAGTGGTCATAATGTTATGGCTGATCAATGTATATAGTTTTATATCTCATTCCTTTACTTTGTTTTTGCTCAGTATCTATAAGCCTAAAATGTTAACTGTGCATGACTAACATTAGGAAGTAAGTTGTAACATGAAATCTGATGACAGCCACACGTTTTACCTCTGATAACCCAACCTTATTTGTAGGGATTACTTCCTATAATAATCAACACCTGTTGTCAGTGTGAGAATTTTAAGATGATAATTTTGAACAACACCCATGGGAGCACTTGGCTTCAACACATTTAACTAAGCGTGACAGCGGTTTAACTAACTCAGCTACAAGAGGCAGGTGAGACCCTGGCCCTTGACAGGTGCTGCGTGCCTCAGTGAAAAGAATGCTAAACAGCCAAAAAACTCCAAAAATTTCACTTTTCAGCAGACAGATAATCCAGTGGATTATCCTGGGTGTTTTTAAAGACTTTGTGTCTTGAAAATTTTGTCATAAAAATGTATTTAGCAGTTGGTTGGGAGGGAAAAACAATTATCTCAAATCATCTGCATAAACTCAGAATTGACTTTAATCTCATGACTTTAAAAAAAGTGACTTTAAAGTCAAAATTGTGAGAAAAAAATTCAGAACTTAAAATAACTTTTTTTTTTTTTTTTCTTTTTACAGTGGCCTTAATCCTCTTCTGTTTTAGATTCTAACAGTGCTTAGAACAAATATTTTTGGAACTTGGGTGGCCTGACCTTTTTGGCCCATAGCCCCTTAGAGCAGATCAGCACAACACAAGCTGGTATAAAAATATTTTACTAAAATACCTTTGCTCAAGTCCCACTTACGAGCTGTTTTCTTAGCTTTCAATCACATCTCAGTCTTTTAAAACTAGTAACAAGACCTTGACTTAAAATCTTTCACATCAAAGTAATGTCTCCAAGATCAAGAAGGAACTTTTAAAAATCCCTCAGAGAACAGAGGAACACCACACTAAGCGGAGCTGCACTTCATCGACCCCACATCAACTGGTGTGCAACAGCAGACTCAACCATGCATGAGAGGAGCTTATGAATAAAGGCTGAAGCTATTAGCTATTATTCATGAAGGAGTCAGGCTGTTTAGATGCACTTTCAGTAGATTTGCTAAAGAGGAGCTGATGGTGGTGCAGAGAGAGAGACAGAGAGAGACCTAATTAGGCCAATCACAAAGTTAATACAACCTTGAAAATGGAGAAAGTTCTTCACATGCTGTGAGAAACTGTAACAAAACTATGAAAAATGCTCATCACAACTTTAATGAGGCCAAGACGATATCTTCCAGTGTCTTGTTTTCTTTGGCCCATGGTCCAAAAGCCAAAGATGATTTAAAATGGATATAAACAGCAAAGACTCACATTTAAGGCACTTTGGCATTTTGCATGAAAAAAGACTCCAACTATTAACTCTTAAAATAATAATGTTCTTTCTGCTCAAGCCCATCTATTAAACAAGCAATTCAAACACAAAACCAGCTGGGGGAAGAACCAACAAAAAATGTTTCATTATTACCAATGATTTGCAGGCTGACAAAAAGTTTAGGAAGCAGGATTTGGAGGAGACAAGAACTATTTAATGCTTTTCTCTCCCTGCCAATTATTAACTTTTCCTGCTGTGATCATCAAAAGGAAATTATGACTTATAAACAACCTCTCTGATCCAGACAGGACTTGCACAGGAGTGAAGAAGGAAATCACACGTTGTCAACAAGTATTAAAACACTGCAGCAAAACAACAACAAGAGGGAAAAACAGAAAGCTCCATGTTGACAGAGAAATACTGTTCCGACTGTACTGACATAGCCTTAATGTTAACACTGTCTCGCCAAATCTGCATGTAGACACCAACAGGCAGTTCCAAAACTGGCTTAAATCCCCAGGTGAACCAAAAATACTACGTTCGTCAGAAAAAAACATCTCTATTTGCGAAATGACAAATTATTCGTAACGCAAGACATTTTGAAAGTAACCATAAAAATTAAATGGCGGCAAAACATTACCCGAGGCGTGCTGGTGTCCTGGCGCAGCCATGAGCTTAATTTAAAATACAATAAATAGGTAAATCGTACAGCTAAAAGCCAGTGGCCAGCTGTTGTTTCTCAGGTAACCTACTGTTCATAACTGCAACAGCAAACAGCAGTCCTGAAACATCTCTGCCGAGTGGCTGCGCACTTCCTGCACGGTCATGTGACTAACACCACGTGACGACATTGCTCAGCGCTCTCTAGACCACGGCAAACTTGAATGTATTACAGGCTACACAATATATGTGTTATCATAATACATGATACTTTCATGTCTCCAAGGCTCGGGAGCAAGACAATGAACAAAAGTGTCCATTCAGGACAAAAGTCAGGACAAACTGTTCAAACATCCTAGTGAGACTCTCAAATCTCATTAAATGTAATTATCTAACGTCCTGTCTAAATTTAAATATTCATAAATGTTTTTTAGGGTAAATGCAAAAACATGCCCACTTGTAACTGGCTTCAACTTGAGCATTAGTCTAATACCCTGCTAGCAGACATTTGTGGTCTTCATAAACAGCAACAGAGTGAGACATCTTTATTTTTTTCTCTCTCAGACAAATGCCTTTCACTCCCTCCTTTCAGAATCAGAATCTGAAACAGAATCTGCTTTATTGGCCAGGTGTGTTGGACACACAAGGAATTTGACTCTGGTACATCGGCTCTCAATGTGCAAACAGTAAACCAGCATAAGGCTGTGTAATATAACAAAAATAATCAGTATTTACAAGCAACAGAAAGTGCAAACAATGCAGAATAAGCAGTATGAACAGACAGTAACAATGCAGACAACAAAAGAATGTTGTTTGGAATGAGATAATTGAGGATAAAAATAGACTACTTAAAACAGAGTACTAGAGACCTGTACAGGTTTGTATAATCTGTACAATGTATATATACACAGGTATAGCACTGAGGTTTATTGTCCAATCATATGGTCATTGGTTAAGCGTTCATCAGAGTGATGGCCTGAGGGAAGAAACTGTTCCTGTGCCTGGTTGTTTTGGTGCACAGTGACCTGTAACGCCGTCCAGAGGGGAGGAGTTCAAACAGATTGTGTCCAGGGTGTGAGGGGTCAGCAGTGATCCTCTCCGCCCTCCTTTTGACCCGTGCGGTGTACAGGTCCTCCATGAAGGGCAGGCTCACACCAACACTTAATTCCCAGTTGCTCCATTCTGTATGGTAAAACATCTACAATTTCTTGTCATGTTAAATCAAAAGAGTCACTCCCTGAATTCAAGAAAAAAAAAAACTTTGCTCATGTAGCCGGTCTTATCTCTACGCAGCCATCAAGTCTAATTTCTGTGTTGTGTCTTTAATGATGAGTTGCACACTGGGATTTGCCACCCACAGGAGAGGAGTTTATTCTGTGTGAAACACAAATAAATCAGTACATCCACTAGAAGGCAGGTCACTCTGTTACACATCTCTCCTCCACTTTCCTCAATAACTGAGGAGGACCTAGAAAAACAGGAAACAACATAATGGGGCAATGGCCTTCAAAATAAAAACTCCTGACCAACAAAACCATTCAAGTCAGTACATTTGTGCAAAAATATTGCACAATATGACATGAAACAAAGGACATCTCAAGAATAAAAGTGGGTGTTAACCCCCTCCCCAAAATAAACTAATATGCACTGTAATGTTTTGAGAACGTTCACTTTTCACATTCATCTGCTACACTCAGAAATGCCTCTTCATGTATTTATTTAGATTTTATCAGAGCAAAACACAGGTATGAACATCATTTTGCATGAACACACACGCCAACCACTAATGCTTTAATTGCAGGCTGCCCCACCTAATAATACACCCTGTTAGACTGCATTACAGTGCTGTGTGGGTCATACCATACAGTCACATATACCCAATCTGAGAAGAGTATTACCACATTAGGCCTCTCATTAGATGCAGTCACACATCTGACTAATATGGAATATGGGGAAATAATAGATTTTCCATCAGCTGTTTCGCTTGGAAACTGTGGATGTCATTTGCAGCACCAGATTAACCAACTGTTTCAGAGAAATACACATTCTGGTATTATGTTTTCCCTGACAAGGCTTATTTTCTGCCCCACACATACATGTGTAGATATGTTTATATCAGCCTGCTACTCTGACAAACACCTGTCCAGATGTGTTCATCACCAACAACATTAACACAGAGGTTTATATTGAACTTGTACAAAACTGATGCTGTGGTTTGAGCAGTAGCAGACCTGTAAATGACCAATTGTAGGTGGCGCACAGACGATACAGTCAAAAACATAGGCGTGTGCTCGTATGCATAGCTGTTGCCTTCATTGTTGCTGCTTGACATGAAAACCAACATGAAGAAGGCGGTTTATCACTGAATTTGGAGGAGGGTGAATTTGTTCTCTTACCTTTTGGAAGCATTTGATGAGGGGTCAAGACAAGTACTGATGGGGCCAAATTTCCATTTCTATATATTGGAGGGATGTGATCCCTTTTCCTCTGTAGTGATTATATGCTTGTCAGACTTTTTCCACCGCACTCAGGACAAATTGGTGCATTATCCCAGTAATATTATCCAGTAATTGTGTACGAGGATCACACTTGATGGCAAGAAATCACTTTATTCTGCAAGAAGACAAAGCATTAGACCATCTGGCTTTCATCGAGGGATGTAAAATGATTTTCGAATATTCAAATAATCATAAAAAAAACACAACTTCATGCAGCTATGGTTTTGTCTTTTAAAACAAAGAGCCATGGTTTTCCCTTTCCAACGAGGTCAGTCTATCATTTTACTACACTGCCAAATACAAACAGCAGAAAAATGCAGAGAATGCAGCTATAAAGAAAAATGGTCATGACTTGGCTGGATAAACTGTACGATGGTGGTCAATGATCTTTGAATAATTGTCGAATAGTTCCCAGCGAATATCAAATAGCATTTTAGCTTGATATGCCCATCACTACTTTCGTCAGTGTCACAATTTCACAGTGCGACTGCTGTTTTAAACATTACACACAGATGAAACCTCTGGAGTTAATTAGCCTGCACCTGGTTTTATCCATGATTACTCAACAAGGTGCAGGCTAAGTAATTCAAGCAAGTTTCATCTGTGTGTAATGTTTAAAGTAGCAGTCATACCATCAGATTGTGACATTAATGAAAGCCAGATGGTCTAAAATGTTGTCTTCTGGCAGAACAAAGTGACTTCTTGCCATTGAATGTGAACCCAATTTATGATTAATGAACTATACATAGTTAAAAATTAATAAATAAATACGTCTGAGAAAGAGATACTTTCAGTGTATTCACAGTATACTTTACTTTATAGCTGAAATGATCAGTCAGTTACCATGTTGTTTTTGATTGAGTGACAAAAGATTTCTGCAACAATTTTAAAAATAACAAAAATTACTTGTCCCAGGTTTTCAAATGTCAGTATTTACTACTTTTTGTTTTCTCTTCAGGTGTTGGGACTGTTGATCAGACAAAACAAACAACTTAAATATGCAAACTTGATCCTGAGAAATGCTGGTGGGCATTTTTCTCTTTACTTTTATTTTTTGTTACTTGACAGACCAAATGATTAAATAATCGATGATGTAAACTATTGTTATTTGCAGTCCTACTCTTCTTTTCACCAAGTTCAAGTTCTCTTGAATCAGTGAATGTGCGTTTCATGACAGTCTGCAATGACATTCCAATAGTAAATAAACACTAACTTCAGCCACATACACCCTCTTAATCTCTCATCCGATCGCTCCCTCATCTGCCTTCCAGTGCCTTGTCTCTGGCGATCACCGCCTCATCAAACTTGATCATAAGTGTGGTGCCCTTGTGCCAGTGGACTGTGACCTTGGCAGGGAAGCCACTGTGGGTGAGGATGGCCTCTATGACGCCTCCGGTGAAGGCTGCACAGTTCAAGGTGCTGTTCTCCTTAGGAACAGAAATGTATGTGTTGACAAGAGGCTCTTTCTCAATGATGTAGTAGGTCTTGTCATCGTCATTGGCCTGTTCCAGCTTATCTGCCTCCTTGCCAAACAGGGCTTTCCACACAGATACCTGTGGAGTACAAGGCAAATGAGTGAGGAGGCTGTAGGTAGAGGAATTACACTATCTAACACGATACCAACAGCAATGTATTTAATAATCAAGTGCCCTGAGGTCACAGCTGCTAACTGACTGATGAAAAGCAAACAATCTCTCACTGTTTCTATTTTAATCATACAAGCACAGTAACTGGCACACAGCGGCTGGACTGTCCGTTTCTCCGCGCACATACCTTGATAAACAGTAGTATGTTCAGCAATTTGGTCTCCCTCTTGCCGTTCTTCTCTCTCAGCACCAGCACTTCCAGCAGGCTGCCTCCCACCCGTTGACCCAGCTCCGCCAGAAGAGCCTGCAGCTCGGACACCGAGTACACCCGACTCTGGCAGTACTGCACCACCTCGGAGAACAGCAGGGCGAAAGCGCTCACACTCACTTCGGTTTTAGGTCGGGTCAGAGGCCGCTCCAGAATAGCAGACTTGCCTCTGGTGTACCGAGTCTCCATTGTTATTTAATTTATAGCTATAGCAGTGCAAAGAGAGGGGGAAGGGGGTAGGAGGCTATAAACACAAGCTGCTGCACAACCTCAGGCTAATACTAACTAGACCGAGCGATGAGCGGAACACCAAATAACATCTGTGAATATGTTATCTATCCAATATCAGGAACAGTTTACTCTTCAGTTTTCACAGAAACAACACGCTCAAAATACAACCAGAATTCATATAATCACTTACTACACCTGCTCTTGCCGTTTCGATTACTTCCTGTTCCGATTGTATACGTCACTCTGTCACATGACACCACCATGTACAGTTTACTGTAGTGTAATTATGGTCTTATGAAATCAGTCAGATTTTTTACCTTTGCATGTTTTAAATTTGGGCTAATGTATCTCATAATGTTTGATTTTGTTATACAAGTTAATTAATTGGTTTCTCATTTTTATTGTGGGTCATCTTAATAACACATTTGTGGTTTTATGACTTCAAATCTTGAACTTTATTTTTTCACAAGCTATTCTTACAAGCTATTACAAGGCAATATTTCACAAAAAATTGATTTTGAAATTAAAATGCTGCTTTATGAATTTGCCACATGCAGCCTAGCTTACCACTGAAACCTGCATATGAGACCACTCATAAAACTTATTTAAGGGCATAAAATGACATTTATGTTTACTGTATGTAGACACCTAGAGTCAGGACAGTTCTTGTTTTCTATAATTCCCCTGAATTTAAAGTTCACAAGTTGTTGACTGTTTATGTGACTGAAAATGTTTCTTCACATTGGTGAATACACAACACATACACAGGTCACAGGAGATGGTACACATTAACCATAAATCTGCCTCATCTTTCACATCAGTTATGTTTACTGACATACAGTACAAAGAAGGTGTGGACCATGAGGTAAGCATGACACATCCCAGTATAATAAAATCACTTCTTTGTAATAAATCTTGGGAGGGGCAGGGCATGACTTTGTTTTCCTAGTGACACACTTTAAAACATAGGCTAAATCAACATTTGGAGCTATCTGTACAAAGAGCACTCTCCCCTATTGGGACACAACACTGCACTCATGCACGTACACTTACACAAATACACCTACACTCAACTCATCTCAGAAGTAGGACTCAGTTTACAGTTCTCCATTAGCAGAGGTTCCTTCACACCTCACTGTACAGGCTGAACTGGGAGAACGCATAATTCTGTTTTGGAGCCAGTAACCAGGAGATACAACATGACTTTATCTGGATTTTTGTTTTTTGTTCTGGCTTTATTCTGTTTCTGTACTGTCTACAGCAGGCTGACAGGTAAGTTCAGTTACATAAAACGTCAACACATGTGTGATCTTTAGTTAAATACTTTATCAGGCTACTTCTTTTTGACATGCTGATGAGGATTTTGTTCTAGGCAGCCTGTCAATTTGTGATTAACTGAACCCCTGTAACATGAACATTTTAAAAGGAAATGCAGTAATTCAGAGTACTTGCCCTCCTTTTAGGATTTTAATATTTTATTGTATTTTCTGAATACAAATCAACAAACTATTTCCACAGATTCACTCCTCATATATTCAAACAAAAGCATTTAAGAGAATTAAGACACCACTTACGTGAATAGTCATAAAAAACTTTAAAGGTGGAGCTAGTTATAATTAGCCTAGATGCTTATAATTTGAAGTACTGCTGGGTATCGTTTGACTTTTCCATCAAATATCAGTGAAGTCACATGATTACACTGTTATTTTTGTATTAATCTGGTTCTGAAAATTAACTAGTAACTAAAGTTATAAAATAAACGTAGTGGAGTTAAAAGTACAATATTTGCTTCTAAAATGTGGTGAAGTCAAAGTATGAACTAAATGGAAATAAAGCACAAATACCTCAAAATTCTACTTAAGTACAGTACTTGAGTAAATGTACTTCATTCCTTTCCACCACTGCATAGTTATTTTCAGTCTGAATAGAATCAGCCATTAACGAAGCAGAGTATAGAGACGGCCACAGCCCCTTCCTGTACAAACATGTCAGGATAAAGGACCATACAAAAATTATTGTCAGGGTGTGGATGAGGGTTGGGTTCAGAAAAGGGGGGGAAGTCAGGTAACATTGTTAAAAAGTCAGTATACAATTCTTTCTCTCTGATTGTTCGCACTGTAAATCTTTTATATTGACTTAGGCTGTACACACAAACATGCATGTCTGTCAGTCCTGGAAGAGAAGTGACCCCTCTGATTTGAGGGTGTAAGCACAGAGGGTTTGGTATCCTGTACAGATTGTAAAGCCCCTTGAGGCAATTTTGATCAGCATTTGATGACGCTGAGCAGTGGTGGAGGAAATACTCACGTTCTTTACTTAAGTAAAAGTACCAATAGAACAGAGTAAGCATACTTTATTACAAATAAAAGTCCTGAAATCAGAGTGTTATGCAAGTAAAAGTACAAAAGTATTAGCTTCAAAATATACAAGCAATTTATACAAGTAAAAGTACTCTACAGAATGGCACATTTCATATTCATGTACAGTATATCAAATTATTGTATTATAATTATTGGTGCATTAATTTGTTCATCACAGCTGGTTAAGGTGGAGCTAGTTTTAACCACTTATAATGCCTATGCTTATAATTTGAAGTACTGCAGGGTAGCTTGTGAATTTTTCCTTCCAGGAATCGATACAATCTTGATTAGACTATATTTTATTAAGTTAATGTGATTCTGAAAAGTAACTAGTCGCTAAAGTTATCAAATAAATGTAGTGGAGTAAAACGTACAATATTTGCCTCTAAAATGTAGTAAAGTCAAAATATGAAGTAGGAGAAACTGAAAATATTCAAGTAAAGTACAAATACCTCAAAATAGTACTTAAGTATAGTACTTGAGTAAATGTACTTAGCTACGTTCCACCTCTGATGCTGAGCACATTCTTACTTGTTGAAAATCAAAACATAGATTTTAGTTCATCTCACCAGCATAAGTGTTGGGGAGAGGCACAGGTCAGTCCATGTCACTTTGCTGTGACCTGGACAAGGCCATCCAGGGGTCAGTATCACAGACATTTGAGGAGTGTCCTGAATACTCTAGTGTTCTTGAGTCATGTGTTTTTTCTTAATTTGCTTGTTATTAGTTGCCAAGCTGCATAACATGGACAGCTTCATTCAAGCTGTGCAGCAGGTTGAAGACACCAACCCTGGCCTGTCCCCTCTGGAGTTGGTCAGGGCCCTGCGGAGGACCGCCGGCCACGACGATATGATGACTATCCACTTCTTGGGGGCATCATATAATCTCACCAAGACAGCCATTCTCACTGCCTCATCCTTCAGATTTTTTGACAAGGCCATCCACCACATTGTGACTGACAGTGGAGAGGAGCGAGGGGTGGTTCTTGCTCCAGATGGCACCACAGTAGCCCTTGCGCCTTTGCTGCTAGGAATCGAATCAGGACTGAAAGTGAAGCTGAAGGGGACACCAGCTGTTGGGATCTTCCCTCTCACCTTAGGCAGGACACTGGGACTGTCTTTCCTCAGTCTCCAGGACTTCCCGCCATCTTATCGCCTGGGACCTAACGGGTGCTGGGACAGTGTGGCCCACCCTAAGATGTTCAAGCTGTCTCGGTCTGCCACACTGGCTACTGATGCTGTTATTAACGGAGGCATGGATGGACTCATACTGGGCACGGACCTCAGCAACCTACCTGCATCTAAACAGCCGCTGGCCCTCAGTGAGATACTGAGAGGGTACTACAATTTTATTCTGCATGAGGGGCAGGGCCTTGATGATGTGACCAGCCACATCAGCCCGAGGCGAAGGGAGCTCTCTAGAGCCATTCTGAAGCCACTTGATCTTCACAGCCAGGTGATGGAGACACTTGCATTGGTCTGGAAGTTGGAGAATACAGAATGGATTGCACTTGACACTGGAGTGGGGAAGGCAGTGAAGGATGGATTAGATGCATTTGTGCACAAGTACTGGGGTGAGTTGTGAAATTGTAAGTATAGGCCTATTATGGCAACAGTTTGGTCTTAAAATTTTAACAAGCTGTGTAAAACACCAAAAACCCATAGAGATTTTTAAAACTATCTTTGTTTGACCAGCTGTCTGAAACCCAAACATATTCTCTTCACTGGTAGAGAAAAACATAAAAACAGTAAGATATGCACATGGGAAGCTGGTTTGTTTGTTAACAGCACAGCTCAAAAGTGAACAGATTTTGATCAAATATTTTGGAGAGGTAGGGTATGGCCCACAGAACAACTGATTAGATTTTGGTGCTGATTTGTATTATGATGTGGATACAGGAGTTTTTTTAAAGGGTTCTTCACTTAAACCAGTGAGTATTTGTCATGTCTACTGTTTTTCTTGAATAACTTTCAAACTAATAATGATATCAGAATCATTCCAAAAGAGCCAGATTTTTTTTGTTACAAGTTGGTGGAGACTAAGACAAAGCTAAAGAAAACTGAATGCTAGACAAATATTCAGCTTGTAGGTACAATCTACAAATCTGTACAGCTGTTTTAGTGTCCTTCTCCTCATCCTCTATCCTCAGATTGTCCTCACATAATCCCTCGCTGTCAGTGGGGGGCAAAAGCCCACCGGGGTACGCCTATCCCGCTGTTTCTGCCCCTCCAGTTCCTGTATGTTCACCACACCTATGAGCCATCTTTGCCCTGTTTATCCTTCCAAAAGTGCTCTCACAACATGAGAGCCATGCAACGTTTCCACCAGGATGACCGTGGTTGGAGTGACATAGGATACAGGTACACAGCCTTTAAAGTGCACCCATAGCCACATATTATTGAAAAAAATATCACCTTAAAATTAATTTGCATTCTGCACAAATGTTTGCTATGTATATTTAAGCCCAGTTGCTGTGCATTGAATTCTGTATGTTGTGCTGCCTTTGTGCCCAAAGCTTTGTAGTGGGCTCTGACGGCTACGTCTATGAAGGCAGAGGTTGGAAACACCGGGGCAGACACACCAGAGGGCACAATGACATTGGGTATGGTGTGTCCATCATCGGTAACTACAATGCCACCCTGCCATCTCGCCATGCGATGGACCTGTTGCGCCATCGTCTAACCCGATGTGCAGTAGATGGAGGAGGACTGGCTGCCAACTTTACCATCCAAGGCCACAGGCAGGGGGGGGAACCGGAGATGCCTTCTTTTCAGAAATAAGGGGTTGGGAACATTTCAGGGAATGACAGGACTCCCACTGCCAGATTAGGATTCTTTCCATCATTAATGGCTCTCTGAGGTTTGATAACTGGCCTCATAACTGAAAACAAAGAAAACACAGGATGGATGTTTGACACTATTTTCTGATTGCATGTGACAGCATGGTGCAAGATAGAAAGTGGAAGAACCTAAATTAGGCTAAAGTGAAATGGGTTATACCACTGAATCACTTGTTTGCACAGCAAGCATACAGTTTTTACAGTTTTACAGTTTTACTTATGTCATTAAAGTATGTTGGGTTTTCACTTCTAAAATGCTCTCAGGTCTGGTACAGATCATGACCCCTATCGCAGGCGGGCATGGTAAATGTTGAAAGTAAGTTCTGGTTTTATTGACAGCACCGCCATCTGCAGGTTTCTGGTGATTAGTGTTTCACAACTTTTTTCCCTGTTTTTTTTTTTACATTGTTCCAAGTTGGCAGAAGTATGTAGTATCTATTAGCAGTTCTAGTTTGCAGTTTCCTTTGGGATCTCGATGAAAAATTTAAGTACTGTGTGTTTGAACAAAATTTGGCTGCACCACAGTGAATTACCCACTGGAGTATCAGTGAGGTTCAGACAAAGGATGATATATCATGACTGAGAGCAAGGACAAGCATGAGCTGTGTAATGGAATATGTACATTCCCTATGTATGTGTGTGTTTTTTGTACATTGATTTTGCATTTGGTCACACTCTGTACTGACATTTCACATCTGGTCTTTTATTTACTTCAATATCAAAAAACATAAATTCAAAGAAATGTAATTCATACTAAAAGTAAATCTAATTTTTACAAACAATGTTGATGCTATAAGATTCATTATGTGTGTGTTCAAAATGTGAGCTTATTAACTTTTAAGGAATAAACATTAAGAATTTTCAGTATTCTGTAAAGAGAGGGGCATTTAAGCAAGACATGCAAGATTCTTTCTGTAAGCTTATTGCTCTGCTCGGTTCACACTGGTTACTGACTCATCACTATCCAGCCAGAAATACGGTGGCCGACACGGTCACAACACATGCAAAAGACACAACACATGCAAGACACAAACGCGGTATTGAACAAAACACATACAAACGGAAAATGCTGCATTAATCAAAAAAACACATGCAAGACAGAAACGCGGCATTAAACAAAACACATGCAAAAGGAAAACGCTGCATAAACCAAAAAACACATGCAAAAGGAAAACGCAGCATTAACTGAAAACCCATGCAAAAGGAAAACGCAACATTAATTGAAAACACATGCAAGACAGAAAACGGAAATAGGGGGAGCCCGATCGTGAATTTAAATACATTTTGTTAATAATGCCAATGTGTACCTCAAGCAGGGAAGCTCTCATGGTGTCGTCAGTTATATCTTCAATATTGGCTACAATGGCAGTATTTGCTCTTCCTGTGAGGTGCTGGTAAAGCATCTCTGACAAGAAGTGAGGACCTGGACCACCATGAACTATGGAAGTTGCAATCGTCCTCCCAGCATGAAAGTATTCATCATCTTTTGCAGCTGTAGATGTTTTAGTTGAATTAGTGGCACTTTACGCAACATTGTCTCTTGAAGAAAACTCAGAAACATCCGTATAAATAATATTACCTGCACTGTCAAACACAAGAAATTTCCTGTCCTCTGGGCCATCAAAGATTCTTTGTGTTCTCAGGCTGTTCATCAGGAGGGTCAGGAACTCACGCTTGGGACCACCATTGTCTAGTCCATCCTCAGCTCGGCCTTCATCAGTAAATTTCACTGATATCTCATGTGATGGGTCAAATGAGGCACGTTTGAAACCACGAACTGCTCCGTCCCACACATTACCTCTATTAATATTGAACCTGCTGTAAGATGTTCCAGTTATCTTTGCTGAGAGTTCAGAAACAATGTCTGCAGCGGCCAAGTCCTCTGTGCTGTAAAAGAAC